TTTGTTAAAAGAAATTATAAAGTACATAATTACAAATATTGAACCGTTTCCTGTAATTAGCACACATGAGCTCAGAGGTGACACATCTTGTCTAATGTGTGTTTTTATGTCTATTGATAAATATTGCGAAAAATGAAATGAGGACCTTGGGCAAGGTTTAAAAATAGTGGAAAAGTACCAAAATATAGCTGAACCGCTGACTTTTTCACACAATAAATATGATGGATTACATTGTCATAATATGTCTTCACACAGAGAGAAACACACACTACAACAATGATAATAGGCTGCATGTGTGTTTTAATGTTTTTAATTGAAAACATTTGTACCTGATTGAGGTTGCAGGTGAAGTTGCATCTATGACAATGCTTTTGGATATATAATTATGTGGTGAAACAAAAAAGAAGGAGAAGAAACTTTCGGCTGCTCCCTTATTCACCAGGGGTCACCACAGCTGGTACATCCAAACTATATGTTATGTACATTCTTGGCCACTAGGTGTCAGCATTTACAGTAAAACCAAGCTAGATGCCACACCAGAGCGCAACACTTGGAAGATCATGTAAATGCAGGGCTTTCTATTGTTTTCATTGTTTGTTATTTGCTGTTATTATCAGATAAAATTCAGTTTATATAGGCCATGTTTGCTGAATTTACTCTTCATTTTAAGTTTTTAAAGTCCAGTACTGCCAAAAGTGATGTTTTCAAAAGGAGAAAAGGAGGAAAAATGTTTTCCCACTATCATTCTTACTTTATTACAGCAGCAGGTAGTCCCATATCACAGATCAGATGGTGCACATCTTGCGCTCATGCTGGCCCTGCTAAATGCTTCATTTCTCTGGCTGATTTAAAGCACCTGATTATACTTCTGAACTGATTAAACAGAGAGTCTGAGTACACTGTCAGTATTGTTGTACATCTGCAGAGAGCACAAACCTCCAGGTCATGTGGTTGTGAGAAAGGAAATCCTTTATGTACCCTGTCTGTTGGTTTTACAAAGCCTCTGTGATTCTTTTTTTTTTTAATGTGATCACTATCTAGCAATGTACGATAACCTCCCCACTTAGAATACCTGCCCCTGTGCACAAAGTCTGAAGAGAATGAATGATTGAAAGGATGATGTTTTCATAACTTGTGTACCTCATGGGATTCATTCCGAATTACCAAATGAATATGGCATATGTGTCATGTTTGTTTTGGACTTTTTTTGGTGCTCTGTACAACCATTTAAAGAAGCCTAAGCTTAAACGGTTGTCCATTAGTCGTTTTATGATAAGGCTGAGGATAAGTATTACAATCCTCAGCCATAAATCACAACACAGGAACACCAGTGACACAGACTCTATGCTTGGTGTCAGAGACGCTGCTCACAAAAGCGACTTTTACATCTCTGCTTTACACCCTGTACTGATCTCTGTTCCCACAGCAAGTTTAGTTCACACAGAAAAGAAAGTGTGTCATTACAGCTGGATGGTGACACGTCCTCATGTAAATGTTTGCTAAATTTATAGAAAGAGACACAGCTTCTTTCACAGTCTCTCGAGATGGGATCTCTGCTGCCTCGCTTTCACCTTCCTCTCAGGCAGAGTCAGGGGGTGAACGCCTGTTTGAAGTTCTCCCCCTGGGCTCCGGGGTTCTGTGGGATCCGGGTGCGCTTACACTGTTAGCACGCCTGATATGAGAGCCTGATCAAAGCTGGCTCATTCTGCCTGACCGATTTCCACAGGATTAAGGATTAGGGAGACAGGAAGCTGTGAGAGGCACAGAGACAATCTGGGAGAGACAAAAAGGAATATGGAGAGTGAACGGGATGGAGGAATGCGAAAGTTTTATAAAACATAAAACCAATGATTGTACACAGTAATAATAAAGCAAACATTAAAATATAAAAGGATCTTTCTGCAAAACTCATTTTTAGGATTTAAAAGACAGTATAGCAAGTTTAGCCTTACTGGACTTACCTAACTTCATCAAAGATTAAATGTGTCAGTTTGAACTATTTTTTAACCATTTTCTCTTAGCAGTATGATTCAGCTTCCTATATGTCAGTGGTGGTTACCAAATCACCCCACAAGTGGTTTAGTACTTTAAACCCATACCCAGCTTTTTGTTTAGTGACCACTTTTAAATGTGTGTTCATTATTTTCAGCTAACAATTAGATACTTTTAGCAAGTAGCTTCATCACTTTGCATATGGTTAGCTAAGAATTTCAGCAATTTTCTTCATTTTTAACACTTTTTAACCATCGCTCATCTGTTAAGTTCACTTATATTTTTATTTTGGGCCACTATTAGTGCTACATACTACTTTAAGTGAACTATTTCCTTTTAAGATGCTCTTTCTTTTTATGATCTTGTAATCTGCAGTAGCCATGCACACACTAGCTGTTGCATAGCTCCATGGGCATGTTAAATCTTACTTAAAGTGAAGCCCTTATGCTCCATAGCAGCTCCCTATTTTTTATTTGTTATTACTGTTAACTTTTGATGATTCACGGTTCAAAAATAAATCCTCATTTATCTTATAGTGGCTCTTCATCTGGTGTCTGAAACAAGCTGTTTGACCTGCTCTCCCCTAAAGGCCACCCGCCCGTGTGCCACATGTCAGCCATGTGCCCGAGATGACCATATAGAGCAGCAGTCCCCAACCCCCGGGCCACGGACCGGAGTCGTTTGGTACCGGGCCACGAGAGTTGAAGCTCTCTGGGTGTGAAATTTATGGTTTTCAGGGTTTTTATCGTTGTTTTTTAATTGTTAACTTGGTTTCCCTAGGTCTTTTCCCATGTGTTAGGAATACATTCTCTCTTTTTTTTTGGTACTGGTACTGGTTTTATTTTGTTGTTTTTATCACACCTTAAAGGCCGGTCTGTAAAAATATTTTTTGGACATAAACCGGTCCGTGGAGCAAAAAAGGTTTTGGATCGCTGATATAGAGTCTAGAGCAGTCTGAACTTTTTGGCTAATAGCCTTTTAACCTCTTTATTTTAAACCTTTAGCCATGTTTAGTATGACAGTCCACCACTGTGACGATATAAATGGAAAAGCAAAAAAAGCTCCCTTTAAGAAGAAAAAGAACGGTTTTGAGTCTAAAAGCAGAAAAAAATATGAAAGCAGTGATATTTTTTTATTCTTTTTTTAAATTAAGAAAATATAGGATGAAAACCATTATCATTTAATTATATGAATATTACATCCAAACGATTATCTCCAGACTTAATGTCACTGGAACAGCAGTGTGTTAATCGTGAGGCTTTCTGGTTGTTAACAGTCATGAAAAAACACAGTATGAGACTGTGTGCCGCCAAACACTGGTGTTCTTCAGTCCACAGCGGCTTGTACAACAAGGGGAGACCAAAATAAGATCACTGAGGTGTTTACTTAAACGAGTCAAGATGTTATGTGAACCAGAGGGAAAAAATGGTGGCAACGGTGCATATCATTTGTGTGTGTGAATGTTTTTGTATTCAGATACATCAAAACGTGCCTGATGCAAATGTTTCCATCACACCTGGAGCTTTATCTCCTCTTCTTCAACAGGTATGTCATCACTGGCTTGACATTTGAAGGTGAAATGTCAACAACAGCTACTAAGCCTAAGTGAAAACAACGACTGAGTATAAAGCCAAAACGTCTTATCTGAACAGGCAGGTTGTGTCTGTGCCGTCCTCTGTGCACCAGTGAAGCCTCAATGCAGTCTTGTCCTGTTGAATCGATGATACGGATAGGGACTCCCCACTGTGGGTGTTTGTGGTTGTATGTACTTGACTTAGAGTGTGCTATTATACCCATGTTTTTAGTTTCAGTCACTCATTTATCAGAAAACAGTTCCCTCTGCACAGAAACCGAGATTTGGAAGATTTCTGCCGTAACCTGACAGCTGCTAAAGAGGAAGTGAAGGGTGTTTAAGGTAACTATTGGTAGACGTTGAATGGGGTAATAAGGATAAGGAGAGACGAGGGGGAAAGTGACAGAGAGAAAGAATGGGAGCAGCACAACACGTGCCTGCCGGCCTGGATTAAAAGGCCCAGATGAAAGGTTGGCGAGAGGCAAAGTTGTTCACCCGCACCAGATGTGCACTTGCTCTGGCCTATAGCCGATTAATTATCTCATTGTTCATGACACCAGGGTTGGTGTCCAGGCAATTGCATTACACTACACACCCTGAGCGACCTGATCTGGGGATTTCTTTCCTGTTGATCGGTCTGATTTGGGTGTGTGCGTGTCTGTGTGAATCTGTGCGTTAGTAATATAAGGGGAGTCTCTTCACACACTAGTGGCATTCGTAATGACAAAGCAATCACACTCCAGCGGTGCAATCGTTACGTCTCTAGGGGTAGACTTGCGTGTGTTCTCCGTGGCCGCAGTCTAGTCAAACACATTTGTTTTATTGTCGTTCTCAGAGATAAACGAAAAGAGGAAGAAACAGGAAAAGAACAACCCATTCACACCCCGCATGACACGCTGCCTCATTTGCCCAAGCCTCTATCAGTTCTTTGTTATAGCCAATAGCATTAAAGGAAGTGGTCACACTGTCACAGAAACAGTTGGCACGGAAACAGCACATTACACCATCGTCCAATCCCCCTCCCATTCCTTTGTCGTCATTTCTCCCCTCCCTTCCTCTCTTCTTCTGTCCCGTTCCCTCCTCCACCTCCCTCTCTCCCTATCTTGTATGTTTTTTTCAGTCATCAATGAAATCACAACCAATCCTGCTGCTGCACTGTCAACAAGCAGACAGCTCTTTAAGGGGCAGATCTACTTGCCATATATACTTATAATCTAACCTTCAGGATTGCTTAAATACCAATGTGTGTTTTTCTAGCATAAAGCAAGGATGCTGTGGCTCCCCCATCAAAGCCTGCTTTCTCTCTCTCTCTCTCTCTCTCGCTCTCTCTCTCTCTGTTACTCTCATGATTTAATCCTGACCATTTCCCCCTTCTCTCTCTATCCCTGCTGACTCCTCCCTCCATTTCTGCCCTGCGCTCCCTCTCGCTGCCTCTCCGTCTCTGACACACTCAAACACACGCATATACACACCCTCCACCCCCATCGCTGCAGTGTCTCAACTGCCTTGAAGCAAACAAGAGAGGATATAGAACACAGACGTTAATGAGAGCGAGAGAGAGAGAGAGAAAGAGGGCCGCGGGAAGAGAGAGATGTATATGTGAATGTTTCACCCTGTGAACATGAGGAAGGCATGAAGATGGAGCAGCAGGACTAAAGGTGGCTTGTACAGAGCCTTTCTCACCCTGCAAGGGCTTGTCTGCAGTATCCTTTGTAAATGGATGCTGGCTTGTGAACACGGTAAGCCTCGCCACTCTCACAACGCTTCCTATTTCGCTATTTTGGCTTGCTTTGAGACAGGAAGATGATATTTCACTGAAGCCGTTCTGCTGCTGAGGCAGACTGTATTTTCCCATAAAATGCACCAAAGCAAGCAAGCAGCCTGTCCAGTCCCCTCCTCCACCCTGTTAGCTCTGTGCCAGCGGACGCTGCTATCTGTGCTTGCAATTTGACTCATCATCTCTCCAGAGCATCCTCAATTCTTATAGAATGCTTTTATCTGCGTGCAGATAAATTCATTTAATTACTGTATATAGGGCAAGTGGAGGATGGATTAAATGTGTGTGCGTGTGCGAGGCTGTATGTTTGTATGAATGTCTCTGTGCTCTGTCCAGGCCATAAGGTGTAACAGAAAGAGGGGAAATGAGCGAAACCGCCATCACACACACACACACGATCAGGTGTTCGGTGCTTACAACTGGCTTTACGAGACACTGAATGTGAACGTGCAGTGTGGGAGTGGGAGGTGTACCATTCCTGTGGAGCTTGGTTCTGCAGACAGTGGGATAGGAAGGCAAAATATGGCACTGGCATGGGAACATTGTAGGATTTGCCAGTGTGGAGCTTGCTGTCCCATGAGGTAAATTTACATCAATTAATAATCTGGATGTTGAACAGGGATTTATTTGGTTTGTTTTCTGTCCAGCTGTCTGTGTCTGCCTCATGATTTTAAATCCTGACGGTGAGAAGAGGGAAAGAGGCAGAAAGCAGAGCATGTTCATTACTCAGCAGGCAAAGCAGGGCAATTTCTAACATTTTCTGTCTCAACATTTCACATTTCCAACAGAGCATTACTGTATTTTTATTTATTTATTTATTGTTAGTGGCAGTTGGAATTTTTTGTGTAGCATCAGGAGAGCATGTGTATTTGTGTATATTGTATGTGTGTTTGTGTTACATGCTCGAGAGAGAAAAAGAGAAAGCCAAAGCAGGGAGGGGTTGAGGGGCCAGGGGTTTAACGATAGGGAGGCAGATGTGGCAGAGGGGCGGAGGTTGATGCAGCATCGAGCAAGAGAGGGAAAGAAGGAAAGGCAAGATTTCGAACAGAATGGACGGATGAGTGGGACCAAAAGACTGTGTTAATGTCACGGTGGTAGAAAGCCAGCGCTCGTTCTGGGCGAAGACAAAGTGATGGATGTGTCTGTGATAGTTCCACCAGCAAAAGCAGCAGCGCCAGTGAGGCCCTGAGACATCTGTGAAGCAAGCGAAGATGGTGGAAATTCCACCACGCCTTCTTTCTTCTTCTTTCTTGAGGACCAGTGATCTCAGGATGGCTCAGAAATGGTAGATTGATTAAAATAAGTGGAAGGAAATACTGTCGTACAACATCTACAAATGCAGATAAACACATTAGGGGCAGCAGGAAATTTAATCTAGTGTTCTTACGAAACTAAATGCTTTGCATTTTCAGACAAGGCCAGACTTTTAGCACTTTTTCGATGAACGTTCTGTTTGTAAATCACATGCAATCTTCAAGTAGGATATGACTGAAATCCATGTAAAACAAAAGGTATTGATATTAGTCATTTTGCCCACATATGTTTGAGTTCAAGGGATCTGACCTGTTGTTTAGAGCTTGTAACAAAAACCTGCAGATGCATCGTGATGCTATCTCAAGAGAAGATGCCTGTCTTGGGTGAAAGAAAGAAACTGTGGGCTGTAACATTGCAGCCTGAACCAGGATTTGGTGCAAAACAGTGAACGTTTTGCATTCTCCCTGCATTCTCCCTATATCTCGCATGTTTCAGCTCCAGTCAGCAACGTGCGCTGCTCTAAATACAGATTCATCATCAGATTCAGCTGTGCAGTTTGTTTGTTTTTTCCACTTCTCCCTGCAACATGTTACAAATGTCAGAGGTCACCGATGACCTTGGCTTTAAAATGAGGGATGACAAGGTCCAGTGTGAAGTATAAAGGTTAATCACATGCTTACATAATGGGCCTTCAAGTTTCAGACACAAACACACACACACACACACACACACACACACACACACGCACATGTGCACGCACACTTAAAAATGTCATGATACCCTCATGCCGATCATTTGGACATGAGGTCGGAGAAAAAAAGTGTATATATATATAAACCTATATATATATATATATATATATATATATATATGTTTATATATATATACACTACAATATGATAAGGCACTGAGGTGCCTTATCATATTGTACTTTATTTTCTCTGTAGATGATGAGCAGATAGCAAAGGTGTGAATACACACCTCAATAGCAACTTCTCCGTTAACGTGGCAGTGTGCGGTTACACTGCATTGCTTTTCATATTCAAATAAGAGCAATAGTGTGGCAAACCCTATGCTGAGTTGACCTCCTTCCACCTCTTTTGTTACTTGCTACATCCATTCCACTGGGTGACATAATGGCAGGGGACAGCAGGGACACAGTTGGTTTTAAAGTGACAGCGGCTGTTGAGGTAGTCACTCGCAACACCGAGCGGGCCAGCGTCACCGTCCGGTGCACTTTTAGCAATCTTTTTAACCTTGTAGGTGAGCACACCACCAGCTTGGACAATTAAACTCAGCTCTATTACAGTTAAGTACCAAGGGGGCCTGAGCATAGCTCCCTCAGCAGCCTACTTAATAAAATGATTAATCTAAGGTGTCATTTATTTCCTGGAGGGGGACCAGCAGAATTATCACACAACTCTTACAGCGTTTGTCTTGGTAGTTGTGAGAGTGAACATGAAACCCAATCTTTATGCAGGCACGGTTAAATAAACACTAAGGAAATGCGTGTCCCTAAGGTATGTGTGTGTGTGTGTGTGTGTTTGAGCTGCTTTGCCGCTATGTTCAGGCGGGGCACTGCTCTGTTCAGCTGGCTCAGCATTTGTGTTTGTTTTGGGTCTTTAATCCTAGCCAGGTACTGGAACAAAGTGTCATCTCCACACAAACAGCTGTAAGACATGCTTTGGCAGCTCATTTTCAAGAGGCAGCCGCTGATTGTAGAAAGGGCTAATAATCGACTTCACAGTAAAGGATCAATGAGGGAAAGCTGTCAGAGGAATCGAACAAAATCTTAGGGTGGGGTTCAGTGAATGAGTAAGGATTAGATTATCTTTGGTGTTATATAAAACAACACCAGCTCAATTCATCCTTCTCTCTCTCTCTCTCTCGTTGCCCTCCTTTCTAATCTTTGCTGGTAGTCGCATACAGGGGACTGTCTGTTTTCCTGAGGCAGGCCAGCAAGAGGGCCTTGCTTCCAGCACTCAAATCTGAGTGATGAGAGGGCACAGCAGAGGGGACTAACAGAGCAACTTTGTGTTCCACTGCGCACACATAACAGTGGTCATATGACAACAAGGAGGTGGTGGAGAGAGAGGGTGGTGGTGAGCGAGGGCTACGGCCTACAACCGACTGCTGAGGGATGTTGATCTTTAGTGGAAGAAGTGAAAGCTGATATATGCCATATATATATATAGAGAGAAAAGGAGAGGCATGCTTTACAGTCTGTACTCTTAATTCAGGCTTTTTGGATCACAGCCACATTTCTTTGTTTTGATGAGGGCGTGCAGGTCGCCTTTTCCAAGAAAACATTTGAAAATGACGTGAAGCTGGTGGTGTATCTCGGTGACTTCTTCACTCCACTTGCTCCTTGCTGTTTCCATAAAGTTCGGCACTTTCACATAGCCGATGCTCTAGGCTCTTTCTTCATGTAAACACACAACATACAGTTAAACTATACTCGTCTAATTGAACTAATTTATTGAAAAACATACTTCATCGTCATCTCCAAGACCTCCGCACCAGAAACCCACTGTAACATCAAAGATCGTTTGCGCCTAATAGTTTAAGTAGCACTTTTTTTCCCTTTTCATTTGTCATTGTCCTTTGTGCTTTAATTCTACAGAGCTCATTGGGTGGGTTAATGGCAATTAAAGTGTTGCATCTGCTGCAGAGTAAGATGTTTCTCTTTTTCCTGTTCCAGTTATCAAATCACTAACAGCAGATAATGCCTGTGGGTTGTAGAAGCCTGAAAGTGTCTGTTACCCGCAATTTCCTTCTGTTAGAGAAGGCGTTTATCTTATCTGTCATGACCCAAATGAATGCTGTGCTGTAGTGAGTGTTTGAATGCAGATTACAGTGTTCATAGCACCAACCTGCATTTGATCTACCTAATACGGTTCAAAAGCCGAAGAATGCCTACTGTATCCAAAGGCATGCATGCGCGCCCCCGTTTGCTTTTATACAGCAGCGCGTGCACGCGAGCCTCTAGTGTCCACCTTGTGCCATCTTATCCCTTCACATCACACAGCGTACAGGCTCACCCTGTGCACAAACATGCCATTGTCATCGCTGGCTGGCCTTGTGATTCAGTGTGACCCGCTGGATTAGAGAAGGGGGAACACAGCCGCTGAGATGAGGAACATTAAACAGAGTATTATCACAGAAAAGCATCTATCATACAGCGACCTCACCCCCACCCTGTCTCCACCCTCTAAATAGCCCACTGTTTTGGGGGAGTAGAGAGAGGAGAACACTGCCCATCATTGTTTTCAGTAATGAATGAGTTGTGTCCTCACATGTGTATACTACGCAGGCATCTTCCTCAGAGGTCTGCGGTGAGGACGTGACGGAAAGTAAGAACGTGAAATGTTAAAGAAACAATTTTGAGGGCTAAATTAAGAGTTTACAATGACCAGACTGAAATATGGAACTTTTTTTTAAAAGAGCATTTAAGGCCATTTTTGATACACAGTGTTTCAAGAGTGTTTACAGAGGGAACATAAGTGATGTTGGTGATTTTGAGTTCACTTAACTGCAACCACCAGCCAATGGTTGGTCTCCTGACACGTGTTTTTGAAGCAACTGTGCGGTCATTACAGGTTCTCAGAATGCCTCCCCTCAGATGCTTCTCAGACACATGGCTGCAGACTAGACTAGTTATTCTTTGACAGCCCATTCAAATGTCTCTTCAGTGTATAAATGTTGTTA